TAGTATTGATAATAATACCTTTATTTAACCGCGTAGCACTGAATCTACGAGTATCTAAACATATTTTGCAACACTGCAATTATGTATTTCGACAACAATCTAAATGAAAATTGTAGCTATCCGGGCTTTGACCGACTAACGGATGAAATAAATGTTCAGTTGCCTACGTGCTGCTATCTGCCCCCTGGGTGAACTGTATCCAGTGTCTCTCTCTCTCTCTCTCTCTCTCTCCCTTGCAGTGGGTTTTTGTGCTTGCGGCCATTTGCTTGTCTCAAATTGCATTCGTGGCTGGCAAATGAGATTTGTGATTGCCGTTCGGCGGCTGCTAACTGCAAAGTTGAAAGTTGACAACCAAATGGCATGTCTTTCAGCTGTGTTCTGACCAACAACAAATTGCCGAACGCCCATGCAATTAAGTGAAAACGTAGCTGCTTAAAGCCCAAATCATTCACCATGTTTTTGTTGGCCCAGCCAAAGGGTCTAATTAACTCGCCAATTGGCAGCAGCAGCAGCAGCAGCGCCTATAATTAAACAGCCAAAGGCACACTAATTCGAACTGTGTGTGTGTCAGGACACACCTACTCAATGACTTCCCTAACCCCACTCTCTCTCTCTCTCACATAAACTCAGTCTGCTGTTGTCCACACGCACGCAAGCCACGCATAACTTTTGACCAACTCGCACTTTTGGCCCTAATCCATTAGCTTTTTGGCTGCCGCAACTTTTGGCCCCCAACTGCCGCCTCCCAGTTATTGATAAGGCGGCATTTGTTTATGTGGCTTTATCATGTTGTTCTTTAATTGTCAGATATACATAAATTTCCCACGTTTCCAGATGTGCGCTTTTGATAGAAATAGAAATTACTTCATTTGCAGCTTTTTAAAGCTTGCATGTGCTTTCACAGCTGCAGATCGTCAGCTCATACAAAGCTATTAAAGCTCTAATGAGCTTTAAAAGCTGCTTTCTAAGCTGGCTTAAAGCAGTTAAATCACTTGTGGCAATTGTTAGGTGCTTAAGAAGAGTTACTAAATATTAAAGTTAAATAAAACTATCTATGGCTGTTCTTTAACTGTGATTTCACTGTACATATATATATATATATATATATACAGATATATATGACTTTCTGTAGCCTTTGTTCGCTCTATCTGTACGCCTGCAGCTGCTCGTCAATGACTTCCAGGATCTGATCGTGCCGCTCCATGGCCGTATACGAATTGCAGTTGTCTCGCTCTCGCTCTCGCTCTCGCTGCTTTTTGCTACTTGGCAGTGCTTCCGCGTCAGCTGGCAGCGGCAGCGGCGGCGGTGGCTGCTTGGGCCTCGCGTTACGTCGACGTTGAGCCATGGCCCCAGCGCTGAGATTGCTCAGAGCCATCAGCTGCTGTCGGTGATGCCTGTCAAAGTTGTAGCCCGGCTGGCGGTCCTGCCTCGGCTGGCGGCGATCGCGCTCCTCATACTCCTCGGCCGCTTGGACGCAGCTAAAGAACTTGGCCAGGCTGGTGCACATCTTGCAACATCAGTGCAACTGTCTAGCACCTGCAATCAGTTCGAGTGCTTTATAGCTGACAGCCGATGTAGCTGCGGCGGCGGCAGCCGATAGCAACACAGACAGAATGACTGGCAGCTGTTCTTGGGCGCACAGCCGCGACGCAGTTTGGCCATTTAATTGGCTTTATGGCTGGCCGCGGCCAGTTGGACGACAGCGCTTGGCGACACGATGTGGCGGCACATTCTGGGCCGCATTTTCTCCTGCTGCAGCGGGCAGCCAGCTGACGCGGCTATGTCCCGAAATGCTGCATCTACGCTCACCTTGGAGATTGTTATTGTAGACGAGGAGCTCGACCAGTCCATGACCAGTGCCATGCAACTGAATCGCGTGGCCACATGGCCCAATCTGATGGTACTCTAAACTCTTCCACTCTTCATTAGCTTCAACACACACTGCGCATACGTCATAAGAGAACTGATTCAAGAAGGTTTCACAAGCAGCCACCGGGAGGTTGGGTCTGCGCTGAGCGGAGTTTTCGTACGATCGATTAATTATCGAGTAATCCAGCTACAGAATACTTTTTCCATAAGCCTCTATTGTTAACGAATCGTAAACTAAGCCAGGCTTAAATGTATTTATTCAATTGCCAAACTTTGCATTTGTATTTGTATTTGCAAATAAATGAAGAAACTAGCTAAAGAAGTCGCTATAGTCTACGTTCTTTAGAGCATACTCCCGATATACATATGTATGTCTATAATCTCTCAGTATAATTGACTTCGGCCTTTCTATAACTGATCTGTTTTGGAGCATTGATTGCTCAGACTTGTCTTTCTTTATAGAGACATATCTATTCCCAATCTTTTCTGAATTCAGCCTGCCTGAGCTCAGGCTTTGATTGTTTACAGCTTATCAATAATATCAAGTTATATATACAAAAAGCGAGCTGGTTGTCTGTTTAACTATTTCTAGAACTTCCCATCTACGAGGTCTGTTCAAAAAGTATCTCGAATGTTGTTTGCTTCCACACAGTTTTCATTTGTTCTTGATTACCTCTTTTGACCCATTTAAAGTAATCCATATCGTAGCAGTTTTGTGATCTGGTTCAGCTCCTCCTTCGCAGCATCACCTTACGATGGTTGCGACTTCAATAGGCCAACAAGTTGATACAGATTTTTACTCCACTTTGCGGAATGTTCAAAAAATCGAAGACGCTGTCAAAACTGAATAGAGGGGCATATCTTACCGGGTATGCCTTGCCGGGTTCTTAAGTTCTTAAGTGAACTTATTCAGACTTTAAGTCTTCCATCATTGTGCGACTTTTGAAATCAGCTGGTTCAGGAAGATATAGCAGTAGTTGTTCGTCTGCCAGCTAAAAAGTTGTACCTAATTTAGCTTTGATAAGACCCAAGATCTTCCATATTCTGCTGGAGTTAGAGGTCTGCAGGAGATGGGTCATGCTACTGTTTTTTTTTGCGCTTTTATAATTTTTCATCATTTTTATGCATTTTTCAAAGTCAACTTTAGTTAATTATCTCATTTTGAGGGCATATCCAACGCCATTTACAATTTCAAGAGCCACTTCGAGCTGGAAGAGTGCGGAAATCTACTCAAAGAGCAGCTATTTCTTTGGCGTGCTTAAGACGTTAATCTATATCATTTGCCGTTATCAACTTATGGCCATTAGGTGACTTAATCAGCTATTAAATTGCGATAAGGACACTCGCCTGAGACGTAAACCTTGCCAAAGTCAAAGTCAAAGTCGATGACTTCCGCTGCGGCGCCTCCAGCTGCCGCCTCCTTTGCGGCACTCTCGCATATCCTGTGTTGTGTTTATGGAGATCCGTCATATTTTTGTGCGGCATCCATCAATCAATGGCGGCCTCTTCTCAATGGCCACTTAAATGCCTTAAAAAGCGGAAATTAATGCACTCAAAGCATTCAAATAGACGTGCGCTAGGGGCAGCCAGGGGGCTGGCAGGGGCTGGCAGAGGGGGCGGGCTCGATAGCTCAGAGCTAAGCTCTGCTCTGCTCTGCTCAGCTCAGCTCTGTATGGCGGAATCAAGTCTTTAACGTCGATGACGCTCGCGGGCCACTCTGGTGATTAATTGATGGAATTCCACGAGTGCCACGCCACCAGAACACACCCACAAGCAGCTGATGACTGGGTTGGGGACTGTGGGGTTGTGGGGTTGTTTGTTGAAGTTGAAGTTTCGGCTGAGGGGCTGATTGCTGCCGTATATCCGTTATGGCCCTGTTAATGGCAAACCATTGAGCAGTTAAAAGTGCGAGATTAGCATTTCCGCCTAGTCGAAGCATGACCCGAAGCAGCGCGAGCTCCTTTGACAAGTGTTTGCCAGCCCACAGCCCTCAGCTCCCACCCTTCGCCTGTTCAAGTGGCCTTTGGGCTGCCAAGGTGTGGCACACGCCAAGAACAAAGCTCCACCCGTGCAGGCTTACACACACATACGTATACATAGACACATATATAATATTGGCAGACATTTGGGCGCCATCAACTCAATATGGAGCACGAGTTTGTTTGTCAGCCCCGTTCCCTGCTCCGTCCCTGTGCAGTCTCGCGTAAGCATTCGCCATGAATTGTATTAGCTGCCGCATTATCCTTACTAACCGCAAATCGTCTGTCATTTGCTATGATTGATTGATTGCTTGATTGATGTGAATGCAGCAGGGCAGCAGGGCAGCCGAGCAGCTGGCCAACTAAAAAGGGCATGGGCCGCATGCATGGCGCCATCTATTGTTCGCCTGCTACAATTCAACACACTTGACTTTACAATTTCAACACACTAAATAATGGGAAATTCATTGCTGGTTTGTGTCTGCGCTGTGTCTGGTTATTGCCTCTGCTTAGCTTAAACAGCTTTCCAAAGCCTCAGTAAGAGCTTTTACAAAGAATTATGAACAGTTTAAAGAAATAATTTAAATTTATTGAATTACATTTTAGAAAATAAATATGAAAAGTTTCCGTGTACAAATTTTGGTAAAATTTTAGTAAAATTAAGCGGCAAAAGTCTATTTATAGATAAACTCAACAAAAAGCTACCTGTAGAATTAGGTAATTCGAGCTCAAAAATATGAAAGTTGTAATATTTGTCGCTTTTCTGCTTGTATTTTTGGCCGACCTGTAAAGGATCTCAAAAGCTCTTTTAACTTTTAAACTCTTCCATTAAAGCTATATATTTTTAGCTGATCGACGCTTATGCATGAATCTAATCCCATGAATTTCTCTCGATTTGCGTTCATGCAGACAATGCACAAATCCAATATCAACCATAAGAAAGAAAACGTTTTAAAAATAATAAATTCTTATTTTTAATTGGATTCAGGATATAGAAATAAAGTCAGTCGAAGATTTGCACATGTTTTGTGTGCTTTAAACAACTAAATTAACATTTTGCAACACTATTCCCCTCTCTCTCTCTCTCTCTCTCTCACTCTCTTACTTTCCCTTACTGCGCCTCGCTCATGCCATTTTCACTTTCTTTTGCAGTTAACGGAGCTGGAACAACGCGTCATCGAAGCGGAAGAACGCGCCGAGGAAGCTGAAGATAAGGTAAGTCATTAAATGACTGACTGTTAGCAAAGCCCCCCACAGCCAACCGCTTATTCGATAAATAGGGGGAGGATATTAAAACAAGGGTAGCATCCTAGAACAGACAACAACAGACAGCAGCACCAGCCGTGCCTCATTAGAGGCCAGTTTAAAGCATTTACATGACAATGTGACTGTCCTAGCCGAGGGTCACAGCTGTTCTAATACCCTGTTCTGTTTTGCTAAGCAACTGGAGTATATGGGTTGCCTCTATAGTGAATAGATACTCCCACTTTCATGTCGCAAAAGCGCGTTTCTTGCTCACTTACAGTTTTAGAGTCGCCGCTTTCATAGTGCGTAGTAATAATGGATTTTTAAGGATGAATTTGGCTTCAACGCGCTTTTTCTCTTTTTCTGACAGTTTGAGAGTCCCAGTTTTAGAGTCACAGCATCACAGTTTTGCGTTCGAGCTGTTGAAGTGCTTTGAAAGTGAAGCTCGAACATATATTTGCTTAGCTCACTGCTAAGCCAGTCACCTACAGTTTGCGAGTCACATTAACAGTTTTCAAGTCACAGTGTTGTAAAGTCAAAGGAAACTACAAGCAAATGGCCCAATTTCCTACACTTTTACAGTCACTGCTTGGTGAACGCAGCTTGGGAGTCGCCGTTGGCAGACTTTTGGAGAGATATCTATTACCACGTATAGGGTATCTCATTGTCGAGCTCCACTTTACTTCTTTTTTTATCTATTTTATCTGGTTGCAGTTGGTTTTTGGAGAGAGTAGGTGAGGGGTAAAGGGAAAGTGGAGTGCAGACAACGCCACAAGCTTTTGTCACATGCGGGCAAACATGCAGCCAACTAAACCGAACCGAAGTGAACCGAACCGAACCAACCAGGCGACCAAACACAATGCCGGACAACAAGCCAAGCAACAAAACGTCGGCGCCAACTGTCCCCCAGACGCGGTTTGGACAATACATAAATCGACTTCCGCTCCGGAAACCGGAAATTCACATTAATGCAGCGCTGCGTGCGTCCACTGGCCCCAGTAGCCCACCCCAACCCCCAGGCCCCAACCCCTAGCCCCGTTGGCTGTTGCCTAGCTTTGGCATTTCATTGAAGTTCGTGTTGTTGCATGTGTTGCTGAGCTTTGGCAAGCATCTCCCCTTGACACACGCATACCCGCCACATCCGCTGCTGCCCAGCTCTTTGTCTCCACCCCCAGCAGTGCAGAAAACTACCCCAAATGAATGAATGCGAGTGTCACACCACACGGCTCACCTCAGCTCAGCTCAGTTCAGCCCGACGCGTTTTCAATATCAAATGCGCATTGTTTGCATTAACAAGTCTCGAGGGGTTTTTGGCTTTGCCTACGCAATGTCCCCAACCCCCAAACCCCAAAAACACTCGTCAAAGAGCAGGCGAAATGCAAATATTTTCCAAGTTCTAGGGCAGCTTTATCTCTCCTTTACGGCTGGCTCAACCTGGCCAGAGCAAGCCCTGTCGGAAGACCAAACACACGCCGCCCCCATGCCCGCCTCCACCCTTGGCCTTGGCTTTAGCTATAGCCTTGCCGTTATCGTTTGCCAACCACTGTGACAAATTGAATTCTTGTTACTTTGTTTGCGCCGAGATTAAATTCATGAGCAAACACGTGGATGTTAACTAGCAACGGCTGGCTGTGGCTAAGGGCGTGGGTAGAGTCCTGATTCGAGCTGCTGTTGAAGCCAAAAGGGGTTGCAACCCTCCGCTGCGGCTTTAACAGGCTGTCAGTACCGTTTAAGTTGCAGCTCCAACTGCTCGAGCAACTCGAACAACTCGCTAACAGCCCGCTTACTTATGCTTCAATTAGCCAAGGCCTCACACTCATTAGAAACTATTAGCCATGACAAGCTTTTCATGCTCGCTCAGCCAGTGGAATGAGAGTATATTGGCTTTGGGGACTATTCGTCTGTCTGCTTGAAAGCCAAGCACTCTATTGAAGCGAGAGAATAGGAATTTGGAATTTGTATTCTCGTGAATCCGTGTCCCCAGAGAGTCTCCCAGTCTAGTCCAATCTAGTCTTCCAGTGCGCTAGTCTTCCAGGGAGATCCTTATTAACTTCCTCAGCGTCCTAACAAGTCGGAAAGAAATAGATTCTTGAATAATTTTATTTGTTTATGAGCAGTGAATGAGTATTACGAAGTCAGGCACATTAAATTTAATAAATTTCACCTGAATACCTAGCCTATTCGATGACTCTTATCTTAGGAGATAATTCTACTTTTAATAATCCGAACTGATCCAAAGCTTCCAACCATGCCATCAACATAGCCTTATCTAAACAAGCGCAACATGTTCCACTTTCGAATACATCAACCATTATCTCATCCCCTCTATCCCCATGCTACTCGATTCCGGGCTCCATTTCCGCCTGCTTCCCTCACTTTTTGTCTGGTGCATCAAATGAATTATGCATCGCAAAGTGAAAATATTAACATAAAACATGCTTGCATATGCCCCAGCGCTGGGCAATTAGGCACTTGCCCTTGAGTAAGTGTGTGGCAGGTAGCACGTACAGGGTAGGGAGATTGAGGGTGGCTGGGGGTTGTCAGTCTTTAAAATGCATTTAAAGTTGTTTCGATTTGTGCTGCATACGCTTAGGCGCACATGGCACACATTGCGTAGTGTTGAACAACGTTGGCGTTGCGACCAAAACACAAAGAAAGGCGCGCGCGTGCGTGCGTATGGCAAACAAAACAAAAACGCAAATTGCATGTCAAACAGTGCAGCCGCACAGTGCCACTCAAACTGTAAGCGCAATTTTGGTGGTTGCTTCGCCTCAAGCTTGACAGCAGCAGCCAAAGAGAGAGAAAGAGAGAGCGAGAGTGAGAGCAGCTGGCAGAGAGAGCGCACTGCGAGCGAGAGTGGTATTTAATGTGTGTGTGTGTGTGTGCAATTGTTTTTTATGACTGCAATCAAGCAACATTTTGTCGAGCGGACTGCAGCGAGAGTTTTATCCTTTTAGCTGCAACTTTGTTGTTGCCAGCTGTGTGCAGGGCAGCACAGTACAGCATATCGAGAGCGGAGAGAAGGTGAGGATTGAGGAAGCGAGCATTAACGGAGGCGTCGTCAGCAATCAAAAGAAAGCCAAAAGTGAAACAACCACCGAAAAAAAAGCTGACTGACTGACTGACTGAGAGAACGTGAACGTGAACGAGAACGAGAATGAGAACGAATGCACGAAAGCAAGCGGCCCACTAAAGCAGCGTAACAAAGAGCACAGCGCAAAAGTTGTGCAAAAGAAGACTTGTAGCTGCTCCGTCGCTGCTGCACAGGCTGTGTTTTATTATTTTCCGTTCCATTTGTTTAAACAATTTTACACAAGCGGCTGCAACAAGGCGAATTAACAAGCGGCAGCAACAGCAATAGCAACAACAATAACAACGATAACAAAATAAACCGAAATTGCTGCTGTATAATAAAAAAAAGAGAAGAAATATTTGGTGCATAGCAAAAGGCGCGCGGGGTGGCAACAAACGGCTCAAATACATAACTGTTCATAACTGAGTGGCAACTCCAAGGCTAAAGAAACAAAATCCAAGAATTAATATATATTACGTTTGGCCGAAGTGCGTTAAAAGTGTTAAGTAAAATCTAAAATAAAACTTACATTAATAAATGTGTGCACGTATAAGCGTATACGTGAATATATACCTTAGTGTATGTGTGTGTGTGCGATGACAGCCAAATGTGCTAAATGTTGTAAATTATAGGCCAAATTTGGCATTGCGCAAAAATATACACAAACTGACAAACACACACAAAGCGGCCATTCACATCTACAACGTGCATGTGCGCATGTATGTGCACGTGTATGTGTGTGCGAGTGTGCGAACGAGTGAGTGCCACCCTACGCTGTGTATTGGCGCGCGACACCAAGAGAGAGGGGTAGAGTAGCCAGAGCGAATGCTGGAAGAGAGCGCGCCTGCTGTACGTCGTGAGAGCGCGCGCACATGTCAATGACAGACAGCTGACTGGCGGAGTTACAAAGCAAAAATGAAAATAATCATAAAGGCTAAAAACGAAGCACATAAGAAAAGCAGCACATAGCAAAGGAGACAACAAAAAAACGTGCGTTTGTAAATGTAAATTGTGCTTAAACTATTAAAAAGAACATAAAGGCGACAATTAACTGTGGCAGAGGAGAGTAGCGCACAGAGAAGGAACAAAGAACAACAACAAACGAACACACGCAAACATATCAAAATAGACACATACGCAAGAAACGTCCATTTACAAAAACACATACATGCATAGGCTGATAATAGAAAATTGATTACAATAGGAAACGAACAACGAAGAAATAACAACAACGACAACAACAACAACAACTGTCTGCCTCTGTCGCTTACACGCTGGCTGCTGTTGCTCTCAGCGTTGCCAGCAGCAGCGCTCATCGCTTTCGGGCATTGCCAGACTCGAATGCCGCTACAGCTGCAACAAGCGTAACAATAACAACAACTGCAATTGCAACTACAACTACAACTACCATTACAACTTCGTCGAATTTGTTCTTAACCCATAGGCTGAGCAGTGTCATAAAATGTTGCTCTGTCGCCGCGTGGCTGCAAAGCGTCGCCGCTGTTGCGTTTGCTGCCGCCACAAACAAAGAAAATGTGTCCAGCGGCAGCTCCACTAGCTGCAACATCCAGTTAGCCAAGCCTTCTACCTTCCGCCCACCCGCTTTGGCAGCCAACGAATAACACAATACAGCAACAACAACAACGACAACGATTAAAAGACTTCAAAACGTGCAACGAACCAGTTTTATGAATGGATAACTATAGAAAAAAGGTAAGCGACCTGATTTGCAGTTATAGTTCCGTAATCCGGACAGCGGTCGAAACTAGTTGTATGTATACGTATTAGGGAGGTAATACTGTACTTCTTAGTAATCGAAATCTTAAATTTCAGACTGAATCATCTATTGCATACATATGACATATATCTATCTGTACCCTATAATTTAGCTATATTA